TCCAACGCGGAGAAAATCCTGGTGAAGGAACCTCAAGAAGTGGCGTACCTATTCAAAATAGATATGCCACTCTCCCCACCGATGAAGTATACAGCCAGCCGGCTGCGAAGGAAAAACGCAGCAAAAAGAAAAGGAAGAACCGCTAATTCGATGGTGCGAGTGGTCAAGATGATGTTGTTGCGACGGACGTCATCGACTTTGGCGACGCTCACGATGGAAAATGACAGGTGGGCAGGAACTCACAGTCTCCCAGTGTTGGTGAGTTCTTTGCCGGTAATGTTCACGAAAAGTTCACTATTTTGCTATACAGAAATTCAAAACAAAAATTTTATCTGCGGATTTGAACAGTTTTTGACCTGTTTCATACTACCGGAAGGTGTATGCTGGTCACAAATGCCGTGCCAAACTGATTTCCTACTCAATTAATCAATCTTTGATGTGAAATTCGCTAATAAATACGAGGCGCATTTCTTATAGCAAACATGCCATAACAAAATGGACATGGTTCATTTAAGTAAACAAACTAACACTTCTTCCGACTGTTACACCTATGTATTAGCCGTCTCGGGCGACGCTGCCGAAAACATCAATGCTGTAGGTGTAGCAAAAGGGAAGCTTCCTCCGGTGGTGGTAAAAAATGTTCACCTCAACGAACTCATTGCTGAACTGGCGGCTCTGGATGTGAAAGCGAAATACAAGTTGGAACGAGTCGGTACCAAAGTGGTGCTTCAAACAAAAGCGGAGTACGATTTGGTCGTCGCCCACCTGAAAAACGCCAGTACGGAATTTTTCACACATGACATCCCTGGTGAGAGGCCCTTTAAGGTGGTTGTCAGAGGTCTCCCAAACTACGACCCGAAGCTGATCGAGGTCGAGATTAAAGACCGGTAAAAGCTGGCTCCCATCGCGGTTTTTAGAATCACGAGGAAGGACGAGACCGCGGAGGCATATCCGGACTGCCTATTCTTGGTGTATTTCCCGAAGGGCACGGTGACGCTAAATGCGTTGAAAGCCATCCGCTCAATCAACTCGATCATCATTCCATGGTGGCCATATCGTGGCGGCCATCGCGATGTGACCCTGTGCCAGCGCTGTCTGAATTTCGGACACGACACCCGTAACTGCCACATCAAACCGCGTTGTGGCCGGCGCCGGTGGTGTAGTGGTAAGCGTGACTGCTTTCTAATACCCCAATGGGTCTGGGTTCAATCCCAGCCGAGGTCGGTGGGATTTTTCTGAGGCATAAAAATCTCTGGTCACGTCTTCCTTCGGAAGGGAAGTAAAGCCGTTGGTCCCGGCCCATGTGTTGTTGAATGGGTGCGATATCCTACGCAGGTGTGGAAGCTGCCTTCCTGCACATTCGATTGCCGTCAATGGATGGCAATCGATGTCCGTCGGTGATTGGCACTAGATTGCGGAACAGAGACCGACGTTAAATAAAGGACAGAAACCGCGTTGTGGAAAATGTGCCCAAAATCACATCACCACCGAATGTACGGACGAAGCTGCGCTGGTCAAATGCGTAAACTGTTGAGGAGCGCATCAAGGAAACAACAGGCAGTGCATCAACGCGAAGAATTCAAGCGGAACCAAAATCAGGCGTCTGCAAATAATAAACCAGGACGAAGGAAAGAGAAGGGACCGGCCTTTAGACCGGAAGATTCTCCGCCACTCCGCCCAACGAAACAGGGTCCAGCTCTCCATACCCCCCCCCCCCCCCCATCAAGCACAAGCCATCAATCCTGCACTAGGTCTCGATTCGTCATTGAAGGCGATTTGAATGCTCGTCACGAGACTTGGCGGAACTACCAGCGGAACCCGAACGGTCGTTTGCTGTTTGATCACTCGCAGCATGGGCTGTACACAGTGGAGTTTCCAAATGAACCAACTTTCATCCTTCCTCGCTGGACTTCTTCTTGACGAACATCGGTATATCCAAACCGGTGGCACACAACGACCTTAGCTCAGACCACCAACCGGTGGTGGGTGAAGACGGCATCAATGTGGCTGCTGCTCCAAGTCGCCAACGTAAGGATTACCACCACGTAAACTGGGTCCAGTTCGGACGTGTGGTGGACAGAAACAGCGACGAAAATCCACCGCTTGACACCGTAGATGACTTCTACCGGGCGCTGGAAGTCCATCATCAGGCCATATCCATGGCTGACGAGACATGTGTCCGTCAAGTTCCTGTGAGGGGCAAGTTTACTACCATTGATTCCCATACCCAAATGATGATTCGCCTGAGAAATATTCGTAGACGTCATTTTCAGAGGACTGGAGATCTGGATCTGAACAGGCAGATTACTTCCAGAAATGACTCACTCCGAAACGAAAGTTTTGGACGTGTTGTCCAAAATCTGGATGACCGTTCACGTCCATTTTGGAAAGTAGCCAACGTTCTGAAGTCTCATCCCAAACCTGTTCCACCTCTAAGACTCGAAAATGATGACGCTCGGCTCATAACACCGAAGGAGAAAGCAAATGCGATTGGTGATCATATTGCTGCATCGCACTTGCTTGGCTCCAATATCCAAAGTCCACTCGAAAATCAGGTGACGCAATGCGTCCACAATTTAGGTGCCTCCCCTTGTGTCGTTCCCCCGGAGGATAAAATCACGTTAGAACAGATTTACTCAGCGCTGAAATATTCTAAGATTATGAAGGCCCCCGGCTTTGACGGCATTTTCAACCTAATTCTAAAGAGACTTAGCACGAAAGCGCACAAGCTTTTGACCGCTATCTTCAACAGATGCTTGTAACTGCACTATTTTCCAAGCATCTGGAAAATGGCGAAAATTATACCAATTCACAAACCGGGTAAAGATCCAAAATTGCCGTCAAGCAACGGACCGATCAGCCTCCTTTCAGCGCTGAGCAAATTGTTCGAGAAAGTCATTCTCCTACCGGAACAGTTTGGTTTCAGGAAGGGGCATTCCACAACGCACCAGCTAGTACGGGTGACGAACAACATCCAAAGTAACAAGGCTGTATCCACGTCCACAGCCATGGTCTTGTTAGACGTCGAAAAGGCGTTTGACAATGTATGGCACGACGGACTTATACTCAAGCTTTGCAACTTCAACTTTCCTTTACATCTGATAAAAATCACCCGTAATAACCTTCAGCAAAGGTCATTGAAGGTATCGTTAAATGGTTGTCTTTCCGACACGTTCTCCATCCCAGCAGGCGTCCCACAAGGTAGTCAGTTGGGCCCCTTGCTTTACAGCTTATACACTTCCGATATTCCCGATCTCGGTAACGGAGGCGTGTTCTTCCTGTTCGCAGATGATACTGCAATTTCCGTCAAAGGCAGATTGCATCGCGAAATCACCAACAAACTTCAACGATGCCTTGACACCTTTGCTGACTACGCGAAAACGTGGAAAATCAAAATCAATGCCGCCAAAACCCAGGCAATTATGTTCCTGCACAGACGATCCCCCAATCTAATATCAGCTCCTTTCTGCACAGTAGTCATGGACGGTTCAAGGGTTGGGTGGTCTACAGAAGTAATTTATCTCGGGATGTTGTTTGATGAAAAGCTCGGAATAGGAAAGACGGTAGTTAAGTGTTCAAGTTTAGTTAGGTGTCTGTATCCGCTCATTTGTCGCAGATCTCGTCTCTCTATGGTGAACAAACTGGCCGTCTACAAACAAATCATTGCGCCGGTGTGGGAATCAAGTGCACAGATTCACATGAACAAAGTGCAGGTGGCACAAAACAGAGTGCTGACGCTGAGGATGATCCTCGATCGCCCCTTCGACACAAGGATAACAGAGCTTCACCAGGAAGCAGATATCCCAAGAATAGATTTTAAAATTACCGACATCAAGACCAGATTTGTGCAGAAATGCAAAATTTCAGGACATGCTTTGTACCAGTTGTACCAGTTATGGCCATACGTTCCTATTATGGTGTGTTCCAGTTATGGCCTATGGAATTCCCATAGTTGGAACACACCATAATAGGAACGTATAGCCATAACTGGTACATCTACCCTAGTAGGTTAAGTGTAAATAGTAGTTGTAGATTAGTTATAGGATGTAAATAGTAGTTTTTAGTAGTATGTTTTCAAATTCAACCTAAACCAATTCCACTAAGGTGGTAAGTCCCTAAATAAACCTGATAGGTCTAGGAAATTTAATTAATAATTTTATATTAATCGAACAACTAAAGATGAAAAGATACCTCTGTATCACTTGTAACAACAAACATGTAATCCCACTACAAACAAAAGAAACAAAGATCAAAAAAAGTTTAAAAACAAAAAACTATTCATAATGCCACTGCAAGTAATATTGTAAATACACACACCTACACACACATAAAATTAACCTGTAACGTTAATCAACTAGACTTGATCAATGAAATACTATCAAGATCACTATCACCGAAAATTAGACGAGACAAATAGAATTGCATGACTACCAAGATCAATTTCAAAGATATCTAACTCATACTTACACTTTTTCATATAACTGATGTTTGTTATCTCGATATAGGGGAATTTACGTATTCTCGGCAACCTAAGCAGCGACCTTCTTTCTATAGCCTTTTTCTCTATGGAACGCACACATATGCAGTATTGGTTTGTTTACAATCTTTTGCTGCCAGCTGCTCTAACAATTTCAGTCGAAAGAATTGTCAAAAACTGTTTTGAAACGCTTTTACAAAGCTCCAATTTTCTCTAGTGAGAGCGAGTATTGTCGGCAACCAGTTTTCTTCGGCAACCGTTCCATTTGAACTGCATGTAAATCTGCTGTTCTATTATCGGCAACTCGAAATCAGCTACAATTTGTAGTGCGTGTGTTTCATTTCAAGAAAACCCTGCTAGATTGCTTTTTTCAGTGGTAAAAATATAGTCAAATTGAGCGAAGTGTTTTCGTAAGAAAATCCAGTGAAAATAGTGTTTCAATTTGGGTTGCCGAAAATAGTCTGTCATGCCGAAGCCGTCATTTCCCCTATATTTTAAATCATTAACTTTTTATTTTATTTACACCAGTCAGACCGTGGCCAGTTCTTGCAAGGAAGCCGATCATCAGAAGTCCGTTACTCTACCGAATGAATCGATTGAGCGAAATCCGAACTAAGTTTCACGCTCCGAACTGGCCACAATGTCTCATCATCGTGGGTGGAAATCTTTTCCTTTCGGAAAAAACTTGTGGTGAAAACTTGCCTACAGAAATGATCCTGTGAAGCACAGTCTTGCCGTAACTAGGCAAGGGCCGGACCAACCGATGGCGCAAAGACAACCCTCGCTAGCGATTGCTGCGATGATGTGATGATGTGATAGATGATGTGCTGCGGTCGCTGTGGATAGGGGGAAACGTGATTCGCGGTGACGCGGTCACCGTTCGTCGCGTTTGAGCAAGCTTGTTGCTAAGACGTGCGTCGAGCACATGTGTGGAAATAATCATTGCTACTTATCGCGTGCTTAGAAAATGTAATAACGAAGAAGAAGGACCATATTCACGAAATGATGATGGTTTCAAAATTCCTTCATGGTGAGGTTTGGGAGAGGATTTAGTAAATGCTTGTATTTTATTAACTAAGCATTTTTTATTAATTTGTTTTTCACTATGGAAGGTGTGTCAATTTTGACCCTAGCTCCAGTTATTGGCCCAAATGGGAATTGTAGCTAATTACAAGATATCATGGATATTTTGGGTCAGACTTTATCACAGAGATATTTAACTTAAATTGATCTTTATTTATTTTGTTTGTAGTGGGATTACATGTTTGTGGTTACAAGTGATACTTTTGAAATATGCATCAAACTAGCCTTCATAATTCATTGTTGATACTTGAAAATGATCCAGTCCATCTGTTTTGCATGTAAACTACAGCTTTACAGCCTCAATACCATCCAAACTTTTATCATGTACAGAAATCAGGATACACGTCATTGCTGATTGAAACCAACATGAAAAAGGAACTTCTAAGCTACTTATTAATTTTATCATAGGACTTTAAACCAAATCCTAAAATACCATAGAACCAGAATGTCGAAATCGAACATATTTTGGATTCAAGCTACGGCTGTGTTCCATTTGGTGAATTTTCACTTACATTTTAACGATAGGAAATTTTCAAATAACCCTGGGTTTGCACCAGACTAATTTCTGACGGACAAGTAATACATTTGGATAAACATGTTCTTGAAAATTGACCAATCAATTAGTATAAGATATTTTCGAAATGTCAAAATTAAGTGAAAATCTGTCAAATTTAAGTGAAAATTCACATAATATTCCACAGCCTAAATGTAGGGCTGTTGACAGCTATAGTATACTGCTAGTCCCACTATCGAATGGCATTTGCTAGATAAGACGCACGCTAACTTGAAAGTACTCATTAATGAAAAATGATAAATGATAAAAAAAGACCCATTTTGAAGAAAAGTGGCTTAACTCATTAATGATTAAACAATTTTACCCATTAATGAGTATCTGTTACCCATTAATGATTAACAATTACTCATTAATGGGTAACAGATACTCATTAATGGGTAAAAAATTTACTCATTTAATGAGTTAAGCCACTTTTCTTCAAAATGGGTCTTTTTCAACCATTAATGGGTACTTTCAAGTTAGCGTGCGAGGTTGCGACATAATTAAACAAACATGCCCTACAACAACGCTCTTTGAAATTTTTTTTTATAAATATGCTACTGGAAAAAGTGACATTTTCGGGAAAAAGGAGAATGTAGACAAAATACTGAAAAAGGAGGACATGCCCTCTCTTAGGATACCATATGGTAACGCTAACAGAGGTATCTTTTCATCGTTAGTTGTTTGATTAATATAAAATTATTAATTAAATTTCCTAGACCTATCAGGCCTGTTTAGGGACATACTACCTTAGTGGAATTGGTTTGGTTTGAATTTGAAAACATACTACTAAAAACTACTATTTACAGCCTACAACTAATCTACAACTACTATTTACACTTAACCTACTATATACAAATTGCTTATTAAAGCATGTTCTGAAATGTTGTATTTCTGCACAAATCTGGTCTTGATGTCGGTAATTTTAAAATCTATTCTTGGGATATCTGCTTCCTGGTGAAACTCTGTTATCCTTGTGTCTAAGGGGCGATCGAGGATCATCCTCAGCACTCTGTTTTGTGCCACCTGGACATTGTGAGTCTGTGCACTTGAATCCTACACCGGTGCAGCGTAGAAAATTTCAGGTGCTATGATTTGATTGTAGACAGCCAGTTTGTGAACCCTACACTGAGGAAACTATCCCTTCTATTTACATAAGCTGCATCGTATGAACACATACAAATATGCGCTCTATCCAATTTCATAGGTATCGTATGAATTCATACTCCATCTATAGCATTTATAGATGGATACAATAAAAGGTGCACGAAAAATATTTGAATTCCATAAACCCTTCTTATGAATTGTTTTGACGCAACTTATGTCAAAAAGTCATAAGACGATCGTATGAAAGGTAGTAGGTTAGTTCAAATCACAACAAGAACAAAGATGGCGGATGCAGTCTCGTGACATTGTATAAGGCTTCGTAAACCTGTAAGATTAAGAAAATTTAAGTTATTTATGATTTTAATTATATAGTTTTAAATTTGCAGATTAGCTTCTGGTTCTTCCGCATCCATCGCACATAGCTGCACCGACTGACCGAATAGCTTCCCCAATTACATCAAAGTCGAACGCTAACGGAACGAGAAGTTTGTTGGATCCGATTGCATCAGGATTGGCAAATCAAAGTTGGCACTCGTGGAGAATAGATGAACTATGAAAGTGATGATGGTTTCAAAATTTTACACGGTGAGGTTAATAAGTTCAATCTTAAAATGCCTTTATTTTGCAAATGGAGCATTTTATTTAAATCTGGTTAGTGCTACGTTAGTAGAAAACTTAAGGACTACTCAATAGATATTTAATATAGAAAAAAATAATTTATTTTCAGATTTTTAGGTGTATGCATAGATTTCAGCTTTTCTAAAACTGTAGCAACAACCATATTTAAATACCATGCTACATTTTCAAAATAAAAGCATTTTAAGATTGCACTCGTATAGCTCTCCGTGGAAATTTTTAAAAACCATCATCACTTTCATAGTTCGTCTATTCTCGACGAGTGCCAACTTTGATTTACCAATAGAAAACTCGTGAAATTTTCTAAAAATTAAGTAAATTGAATGAAATACGAGTAAATAAATCCAATAAATTAAAAACGTAAGAAATCAATAGTTAAATTCCATAATATCCATCATTCGTTTGTATTCAAATTCATAGTTGTATACGTGAAAAATCATACGATGGCTGGTTGAAAACATCTGACAGTTTTTAATAGTCCGATCGTATGAAATCCAACACAAAATCTTGTCGCAAAAAACCATACGATATTTCTATGAAATCTGATGGAATAATAATCTCAGTGTAGAGAGGCGGGATCTGCGAGAAATCAGCGGATACAAACACCTAACTAAACTTGAACACTTAACTACCGTCTTTTCTATGTGAGAGCGGAATAGGAGCTTTTCATCAAACAACATCCCGAGATATGTTACTTCTGTAGACCACCCAACCCTTGAACCGTCCATGACTACTGTGCAGGAGGGAGCTGGTTTTAGACTGGGGGATTGTCTGTGCAGGAACATAGTTGCCTGGGTTTTGGCGGCATTGATTTTGATTTTCCACGTTTACGCGTAGTCAGCAAAGGTGTCAAGGCATCGTTGAAGTTTGTTGGTGATTTCGCGATGCAATCTGCCTTTGACGGAAATTGCAGTATCATCTGCGAACAGGAAGAACACGCACCCGTTACCGATATCGGGTATATCGGAAGTGTATAAGCTGTAAAGCAAGGGGCGCAACAGACTACCTTGTGGGACGCCTGCTGGGATGGAGAACGTGTCGGAAAGACAACCATTTAACGATACCTTCAATGACCTTTGCTGAAGGTTATTACGGGTGATTTTTATCAGATGTAAAGGAAAGTTGAAGTTGCAAAGATTGAGTATAAGTCCGTTGTGCCATACATTGTCAAACGCCTTTTCGACATCTAACAAGGCCATGGCTGTGAACTTGGATACAGCCATCGAATTCCCTCAGTAGTCAAGCAGTTTAGTCCGGTTTTGGCTCGCTCAGTCGAGTTGTTTGAGTTGCGCGTTTGTTCGTGTCGTAGTGCCGGTTGCAGCGCTCCCGGAGCAAGCTCCGTGAAAAAGTGGAGCTCGTGCGTACCTATCACAAATAGGTACGCTACTCTTCCCGCCGATGTTGGGAATGCCCTACCAGCGGAAGTGAAGCGGACGAAGAAAAGGAAGAAGAATCAGGGCCAGTCCGATGGTGCGAGTGGCCGTGACACCATGACGAACGTCAGCGACATCGGTGAATTCGGCGGTACCGTCGAGCATGAAAATTCTGCCGTCCCGAGTACGGCAAAAGTCAAGCTTCCTCCACTGGTGGTGATGAAAGGGCCACTCAACACGCTCATTAGCGATCTCACATCGCTGGGCGTTGCAGCTGAATTTAAGCTGAGCAGGATCGGCACCAAGGTGATGCTGCGTACCAAAGCGGAGTACGAAGCAACCGTGAAGTACCTGAAGGATTCCAGGGCGGAATACTTCACACATGACATCCCCGGTGAGAAGCCCTTCAAGGTAGTCATCAGGGGCTTACCGAACTTCAACCCCAAGTCGATCGAAGAAGAACTTAAGGACCGTTACAAGCTAGCCCCAATCGCAGTCTTCCGGATGACGAGGAGAGACGAAAACGTGAAAACGTACCCGGATTGCCTTTTCCTGGTTCATTTCCAGAAGGGAACGGTGACGCTCAATGCGTTGAAGGCCATCCGCTCCATCAACTTCATCATTGTTCAATGGGAGCCATACCGTGGCGGCCGTCACGACGTCACCCAGTGTCAGCGTTGCCTGAATTTCGGGCATGGCACCCGAAACTGCTACATCAATCCGCGCTGTGGCAAATGCGCCCAAAATCATGTTTCCTCCGAGTGCGTTGTCGACGAGTCGGAAACATGCAAATGCGCCAACTGTGGTGGAGCTCATCAAGGGTCCGACAAACAGTGTCCCAAACGCGAGGATTTCAAGCGGATCCGAAAGCAAGCGTCCACAAGAAGCCAACCAGGACGGAAGAAGGAAAACACTCCGGCATTCAGGGTGGAGGACTTCCCGCCTCTTCGTGGTACGCAACACGGTCAAGCAAATCCACGG